GTGCAAATGTTAACTTAAAACTGATTTTAAATATTCATACCACTCTACAATGTATCGCAAAATATGCAAGTAAATCGGAACCATGGTCTGCAATATTTTCAGAAATATTGAATCAGATTCTTTATGATAGTAATTCATCAGATTCTTCACTTGGTGTTTTTTAATATTTATTGCTTCATATAGTCGCAGAACGTGACATATCTGCACAGAAAACATGTCATCTTCTTCTTGGCATTCCACTTTATCACTTTAGTCATCATTTTGTTATATTAAATCTCAACAAAGAGGCACCGCATTGGTTTTGTAGAACTAGAAATAAAGGTTTTGTAGCAGCATGCCATGTTAGACAAACCAAACAATCACTTTTACAAAAATACTAGAATAGACCAGTTGAGCTTGAGGATTTCTCACTATTTTAACTATATCTAGGATATAAATTGTGTAGAAATATTTAGAAAAAATGAGATCATGAAAACATCATACGCATTTTGCTACAACCATCTTCGCAACGAAATGGTCTTCAATAGAAAGAAATCTGCTGTATAAAGGTTTTACTTCATGTTCGCTATAGAAGTCTTGATCAACTAACTGAAAACAATATTGTTTTATGGTGTGAACTCTTTAATTGACATCTGGCTAATATAGAAAATAAGCTTGTTGACTTGCTTGGTCCATCTGTTGATAAAGTAGAAGATTTTGATGAAGATGTTGAAGATTATCAACTAGAAACCAATGAAGAGGAAGTTCTGTCAGATTGGATGATTTTAGCAGGAATGGACCCAAATACAAGTTTTAATAGTTTTTCTGATCTAGGTTTACATGATGCTAATCGAAATCATGACTGGTTCGAAAATGTTAGACAACACTATCAAAATTTTAATCTTGCTGATATAAACATATTTATACAGCAAGTTTGCCACAATAAAGCTAATAATACTAAAAATTTAGTTAGCGATACTATAGATTTTCAAACTTTAAACAAAAATTAATTAAAGATATTTAAACAGCTTGAATCTCACTATAATAGTATTATTTTAGGCGAAATTAGTAAGCCTTTAAGAGTCATAATTATGGGAACTGCAGGAACAGACAAGTCATATTTGATTAATGCAATTTGGCAACAACTTCAAGAGATAGCAAATCAAAGTGGTATTGAAAACTTCTCTGTAATTGTTTTTGCTCCAATAGGAGTTGTGGTATTTAATATTCATGAGACAATGATTTATTCAGCATTTTCAATTCCAGTAAGTAGCACAAACTTTAATATAAAGGGTGAAAATTTAAAACAATTGCAAAAAAAAATAAATGGTGTTAAATATATAATAATTGACGAGAAAAGTATAGTTGGACATCATATACTTGCTTTAATTGATATACGGTTATGTCAAGCCTTTTCTGAAAACCAAAATCAACTATTTGGTAGTTGATCAGTTATATTAATCGGTGATTTTGGCCAACTTCTACTAGTGTTTGATCAGCCTATATATGCACAAAATTGTAGTCATGACTCTTTATCAAATGATGGTATTGCAGCTTATAGGCAGTTTCAGAAGGTTTATCAACTTGATATTGTT